CTTCACAGTTGGCTGCTGTGTGTGAATTGTGTAGTATGGAAATTCACATCAATAGCAAGCTCCTGTCCTGTCCAGATATTTGCTGGGTCTGTGGATAAATATTCTGGACTTGTAGTCACTATGTGGTTCTTACTGAATGTCATCTTTACCAGCCTCAGTTTAGATAAGCGTTAAACCTTTATTACTTCTCCTGCTATCTAGAATAAATATACAGCCATCCTGAAGGTAGGAGTTTTCTTTCCTGAAAGCTGGGGATTTGGCCCCAAGATTTGGTGTACCTCCCCACTGCATAAGGGTTTTGATTACTTGTTTTATTAAGCCCAGGAAGGCTTAGCATAGTCAACAATAGAAGAGATGGAAACTTAGTACAAAAGAAAGACTAGAAAACTGACTCTTCTGCTCTTAGTGCCAATATTTTCTAGTTGCACCTTACTGACATGGAGAGAAGATGAAAATTAGACTGACTTGCTGTGTGAGCCAAGTGCATTGCTCCAAACATGTCCATAGGATCAACTGTAAGACTTAAGTGCGGAATTGTCTTGTTTATTAATAAACAGTCGCCAGATAGGCGTGCTCAGGGGAAACGTTCTGGCTTCAGATTGTTCTGCTTTTACTAAATCAGAAAAGCAAATTGAATGAAGGGTAGCTGAGGCTGGACTAGACACTGGACTTAATTAACGTTCACCAAATACAAGCGGGTTAGAGAAGGAATTCCAAGGAGACTCTCGTATGCAAGTAACTTACTGGCACCTTTACTGCTTTTGGGAGACTGACCTTGAGTGATGCTGAACACTTGCAATCCCATTTGGAATTGAAGGTGCTTGAGCAGCACTTGTGGCTAGACTCCAGCTAGGCATAGGAAGATGCAGATTTAATGTATAAATCAAAGAAATCTGCAGACAGTTGCATTCTTTCTCCAGGCATTATCCTGAAATCAGGATTGAAATACTAATGCACAGGGAAAAGTGCTCAGGAAGTCATTTGTATTCTGGTGTTTGCTACTGCATCTGGAATTCAAATTGTCTCATGACCCTTCTTACTGCTGTCTGTATCTCTCTCTGCCTATGCTACTGGAGGATCGGGGAAACTCACCTTCTGCCTTTTACATAATGGATTGTGTTCACCATAACAGCTTATTAGCACTGACGCTGAGAAACTGCATAGCCATAGACTTGGAGCTGAGTAAGCATCTGTTTCTTGCATTGGAGCACTTTGCTTTGCAAGGAGTCGTGCAATGTACAGCAGATAAGCTCATTCAATTTCCTGGACTAGAGCCAGCTACAATAAAGATGAGACAGAGCCTTTGTGTTCTAACGGCATCTCAGTGCCACAGACAAAGTTGCAGTGAAATCTGTTGCTGACATTTCTGTAGCTGTAAGCGAGATAACACCTTGTTTTATTAATTGCATAGGAAGATCCCAGTGTCTGAGCAAGTGAACTTACAGTCCTGCTTTCAGCCTCCATTTGCACAAGACAGCTAATGCCCGAAAGTTCTGCAGCTGAGAACAAGGACCTTCCGAAAGCAACAACCTTTTTGTGCCTTGTTAAGAGGGGAATCTGTGACTTGGAAAGTTTATGGTTATTCAAGGGTTTACATTATAAGCTCATGTATCACTGGGGTGTCTTTTTGCCGTGTAACATTCAGTTCCATAAGATTAATCCATTTGATGAGGAATACTTGAAAATATAATGAGTCCTTTGATACTTTGATTTTTTTTTTAATTTTACAGGAAAATAAAGAATGAACATTCCCTACAGAGTTAACTTAACTAGAAAACTCTTGAATTCACTGTCACTACTCCTTTCTAGTATGCATTTTAATTTATTGCACTGTGGGGCGGGGGTGGGAGAGGATGTTAATTTCACATTAAACTTTGATAGCAAATAACTCACAGACTGTATATATGTGTTGGTAATAGGTTTCGCTCAGCCTCTGTGATTGTAGAGCACAAAATATTCAGTTTAATGAAGTGATTTCTGAGTTAAGTTTGGAAATTTCCTGTTCTGAGCATAATGAGACTTTGTGTGTTGGTATGTTCCGGCTACTGGGGAGGTGTGCTACTTTGTAGTGATTTGAAGATTGTTTGGTTTTAAAATACCAAAGTTGTTGTTTTTAAATAAATACTTTTCAGTCTATAGCGGTAATGCTTTTTTCCCCTCCTTGGGTTATAAAGAAAAAGCAGCACCTTTTGCAAACTGAGTTACAGCCAGAACGAAGTACACTACTGAAACGGGTTTGGATTGAAGGGGTAAAATAATTAGGAAAAAAAAATTGTGGGGGGAAAAGAGGCAAAAATTCCTTAAAGGAGCACTTGTGATCCAGCTCTCTCTTACACATTGTTCATTTGAGAATCTCTAAATCTGAATAAAATTCAGCTTTTGCTTACACAATAGCTAGATGTTGTGATGCAGGAAAAGTACAGATAAGTAAGCTAAAAACTGATCCCTTTAACTCACTCCAGAAGACTTGTCCCTTGAAGTAATATTTATTCATTTTACATTCTGTTTTAAGGTTGAGATTTTCAAAGCTGTCTAGGGAAGTTCAACATCTTCCATTAGTCTGAGGTATCACGACTAGGGATGTCTACGTGTAGTAGACTATACAATTAACCGATAAGCCTAGACTATTGGTTAATTTTGTTGACTACATGCATTTCTCTCCCTCTCCTATCATCTTTAAAGCTGGTTCCCTTCAGCACTGGCTCAGAGATCCTGCCTGCACACCCCCGCCCCCCCCATCCACTGCTGCCAGAGGCAGCAGTGTGGGGGCAAGGCAGGGGAGGCTGCCATGAAGCAGCCTCTGTCCATCAGGCAGGGGGTCCAAGCTCCCAGTGGACAGAGGCCAACTCAGGCCACCCACAGACAGGGGCGGCTGCCAGGGCAGCTCCCACCCACCCCCGCAACAGCCTCTGTCCGCAGGGAGCTTGGACCCCAAGAATAGGAGCTGCTGTCACCTTGTGCTGCTGCTTCTGTCCAAGAGGCGGATGGTCTGCTTGGGGAGCTGGTTTTTAAATTAGCTCCCCTTTTGGCACCCTGTGCTGCTACCTCTGATAGAGAGGCAGCAGCATGGAATGGCAGGGGGCTCCCTGGGATTGGGGCTGGCCCCACTCCTGGGGACTACAGCATAGCTGAGTAACCTATAAGAATTCATACAGTTACTCAACTATTCAATTAACAGATCTAACATCCCTAATCTGCACATTTAAAATTATCGGGAAAATCTTAACCTGTGTTTTAAAATCAATATTGTAAACAACCAGCTTATGTATGTGAAGCAAGGTCATGTCCCCAAGTCTCCTCAGTTATCTAAACGTATTCAGTGTTCCTGGTACCGTTTATATAAGGTAGGCAAAACAGTGAGAAGACCTGCTTATTTCACATTCCCCGCCACCCCCATCTCCCAAAGATTATTTCAAGCCACAGTCGGCAAAACATCTTAGGGCAGTGGAGTGCAAAAGAAGGGAATAAGAACAGCATAGTTACTGGACGTAAGCTAACACCACATCAAAGACTAGTGCTTCCAGGAAAACTTAAACAGGATTTGATCTGAAGGATTGATCAGGGGTTTATTTGTTCAGCAGCAGCACCTTCTTTCCTTTCATAGTATTGAAGAGAACAAGATGCTTCTTAATGGCCGGGAAACATAAGAATGGCCAGACTAGGTCAGACCAAAGGTCCATCCAGCCCAGTATCCTGCCTGCCCACTGTCCAATGCCAGATGCCCCAGAGGGAGTGAACACAACAGCTAATCACCACATGATCCCTCTTGTCACCCATTTCCAGACAAATAGAGGCTAGGGACACCATTCCTACCTATCCTGGCTAATAGCCATTAATGGACCTAACCTCCGTGAATTTCTCTAGCTCTTTTTTGAACCCTGTATGGCTATGTTTACACTGGCAGGTTCCTGTACAAGAACAGCTGTTCCTGCACAAGAACCCACAGACTGTCCACACGGCCTGCCCACTCTTGTGCAAGATGATTTACAGTAAAGCGTGGGAAGAGAGGGCTTCTTACGCAAGAACTATGATGTTTTCTAACAAGTGTAAGCTCTCTTGCGCAAGGGAGCAGTGTGGATGCACGGCAGGGGTTTCCTGGGCAAGAAACCCCTATGACGGAAATGGCCATCAGCAGGTCTCGACAAATTATGCAAAACCCTACTTGCCAGACAAAAAAGGGACTCGCCACCCCTCCTCCCCAAAAAAGTGTTTTTAAATGGCATAAATTCCTAATAAGAACAACAGTAATTACTAAGTTATTAATAAATATTCATAAATATCGCCCAAGTTATTAATAAATATCTTATAAACCTCTACCTTTTCCCTCTGCTGCCATGTCTCCTCCCCTTGCTCCATCAGCTCCCCTGGTGCCTGCTGCCCCCCAACCCCTCACCCTCCTCTGCTGTCCTGACT